GCGCAGAGGGCCGGGGGAGGCTCGCCCGGAGGGGACGGCGAGGGCGGCGGGGGGCAAGCCGAAATGCTGGCCTTTACTCTCCCCCGACCCCTCGCTCCGGGGTGGGCGCCCGAGCACCGGCGCCGCCTCCTCCCCCGTAGGCAGCGGTGGTACCTCCCGGCGTCCGGCGAGCACCCGGGCCCAGGGGCCCCCTTCTCTCTGCCCCCGCGCACGCCGCCGCGCTCCGCCCCGCCACAGAGTCCCCGCCGGGCGAGAGCGGCTCCACATCCGGGTACTGCCGCACTCAAGGCCTGAGCAGCACCTTCTCTGAGCAACTGGGAAGGGGATCCTCAGCAATAAAAGGGTGAGAAGGGTTTAGGAGAGTCGCGAGATTGGGGAAAGAAAGGCGACGAAAACCGATCTCTAAGCGGCTCTTCTCGGTCCAATGAGAATGCGCATGCGCAAGGTCTGGTAAAAAGGGGTCGAAAGCCCAGCTCCAGCCTGGAGTGGTGAAGGGGCGGGTTGCTGGAGTCGACTCCCTGTGATGCGGCGAGCCCCATTGGTTAAGACTGAAGGGGCGGAGCCATCCTAGAGGTGGGGGCTGCAGGAAGTGAGGATGGGGATACCACCCTGGCGCTGAACCTGCATAGGTGGTGAGATCAGTCTGTAGATTCTAGTGTTCTTAGGCGCACTAAGTGAATTTGGGATTCCATATTGTTTTAGTTTTCTTTTTGAATGAGGGCTGGAAAAAGAGAGATTATAGCACAGAGTAAAAGCGACCGTAGTTTTGTTTGTGTAAATTGAAAGCATTTCAAACCAGAGTGGATGATTATTTATGAACTTCAATGGCGTGGACTATTATGAGCCAGTATAAAAGCCTTTTGGAAAATGTGCCTTGTCTTTATGCAGAGTCAAGATAAAAAGTAGACTCCAAACTTTGCCTATTAGTAACTGTTCCCCTGCGGGGCTCATTGGTCCTCACCTGCAATACCAGCAACTCCTGAGGCGGGAGAATCTCAAGTTCGATGCTAGCCTCGGCAATTTAGCGAGACTCTCGACAACTTAGCAAGACCCTGTGTCAAAATAAAAAATGAAAAGGCCGGGATTGGTGGCTCACACCTGTAATTCAGGAGGCTCCGGAGGCAGGAAGATCAAAGCCAGACTCAGCAATTTAGCGATTCTCTGTCTCTCTGTATCTAAATAAAATGCGAAAAAAGGGCTGGGAATGTAAATCAGTGGTCAAGGGCTCCCGGGTCCAATCACCAGCACCAGAAAAAAAGAAAGAAAGAAAGGAACTGGGGATGTAGCTCTGAAGTAAAGCATTCCTGGGTTCAATTTCCAGTACCAAAAAATAAAAATAAAGGTTTGGTTTTCTTTTTGAATGAGGGCAGGAATAAGAGAGATTATAGCCCAGATTAAAATAGTAATGACATAATCCATCCTCAGTGGCAAAATACAACCTTGAAAGGAAGATGACCCTGAGAGTGGTTTCTGGTGCTATTACTTAAATGAGATTATGGTGTGTATGGTGTAAGACCACTGTCTTAAATAAAGCCCAGCATGCAAGGGAGGAGGAAAGCTCCAGCAGGGCAAACGATCAAATGGAAGGATGCAAAAGAGGGTGTAAAATGGACTCAGTGAATTACTATGTAGTGAAATAAATAAAATGGTCTTAATTTTTTCATGTTAATAAAACTACCAGGAAATACTAATTATGGGTCCCAAATGCCAAATCAAGCTAATTATATAGATTAAGCAATTAAAATGTTTGCTTGGAATAGAGGATCCAAATTTCTAATTTGTGTTTCAAAATAGTTTCACTCTGGAAATTTTAAATGTGTGTTTATTGCCAGAGCTATTCAACTGTATTTAGCCAAGGGTGCTCTTAAGTATTTCTGCTTGACCAACTCTTCCTACTGTCTTTGGTATCTTGTCTTGTTTCCTTCTTTCCTTGCCAACCAGCTAAATTGATCATTTAAATTACCAAATTGATTTTTTTTTTATTTTTTTTAGTTGTAGATGGACACAATACATTTATTTTATTTGTTTATTTTTATGTGGTGCTGAGGGTCGAACCTAGTGCCTCACTCATGCTAGGCAAGTGCTGCACCACTGAGCCACAACCCTGACCCCTAAACTGATTTTTCAAAAAAAAAATTTTAAATACAATATGGCCACTGTTAAGAGTTATACTTTGGTTGACTTTGTAATGTAAGTTCATTGAAGGAAAAGCCAGCTGAGATGTCAGATATTTAATAGTGTCTTACATTGTACATCAAATATAACAATAATGGCTTTCTCCATATTTAATTGTGTTTGACTTACCCAGGAGTTTTACATTGACTATGACATAATCTAATACTAAATAGGGCCTTGAGGGGAGCACTGAGTGCATTGAACCCAGGGCCTCATGCATGCTAAGCACAGCTCTACTGCTAAGCTACACTCCAGACCCCAGGGTTTTTGTTTTTAATACCAGAATTTCATTTTCCCTTAAATGAAGATCTGTAATTCCTTAAACTGAAAAGGAATCCTAATATGGGATTTAAACCAATGGTTCCTTGCTTACTTGCTTTCATCCACCCTTTCTCTTTCCCTAGCCAAAGCCTTTGATCCTTCCCCATACATTTAAACTATACCAGTAGCCATAGTCCAAATAAAGGAAGATGATAAGGCTGGAGCCCACTCACACGCAGTCCTCCCTTCTGCCTGCCTTTGCAGGGCTTGAAGGATCTCCTCAAAACCTCTGGAGTGAAAAATTCTACCTCAGAAGTCTGAAGGAGACCACCAACACCATTTTAAAGCATCTCTGAACCTGCCAAGTAGACACATGAGCAAAGTTAACCCTCCTAGCTAAAAAAGAAAAAAAAAAGAAAGAAAGAAAAAGAAATTATGGACAAGAAGTTATCATTGAAATTAAATGCTGGCAGACATGTCCAAGGAATATTGCAGGGATTTGACCCCTTTATGAATCTTGTGATAGATGAATATGTAGAGATGACAACTAGTGGGCAACAAGACAGTATTGGAATGTTGGTAATGTGAGGAAATAGCATCATCATGTTAGAAGCCTTGGAAGGAGTATAAATAATGACTATTCAACAGAGAAATCTATATCCTCTCTCCAAAGGTCCTGTTTAACTATGACATAAAAATCAGGTCATGTACATTTTCATATTAAACTTTTTGTTAAATAAACTTTGTAATAGGAAAAAAGGGAAGCCTCTGAAGTACCATTGACACAAGTATGAAAACCTCAAAGTATCCTAGTCCCCACATTTGAGATGAAGAAAATGAGGCTAGTACTGATTAAGTAACTTGTTCAAGAATACAGAAAAAGTGAATAGCTAAAATTATAACATCTAATGCTAGACCTATTTCTCACTGTATGCTAGTTTAACAACTCTCTTATCCATCCATCCCCTTGATAAATGTCTTGTGAATTTCTAATCCTTTTGTGTTGCTGAGACTATTTCAAGGCCTTTTAAATGGACCAGTTTGACAAAAGTCTCAAATTCTTCTTTTTGGGGGGTACCAGGGATTGAACTGTGGGGAAGAGGGTAGTCAGGGATTGAACTGTGGGGGAGGGGGTAACCAGGGATTGAACTCAGGGGCACTTGACCACTGAGCCGCATCCCCAGCCCTATTTTGTATTTTATTTAGAGACAGGGTCTCACTGAGTTGCTTAGCACCTCTCTTTTGCTGAAGCTGGCTTTGAGCTCGCAATCTTCCTACATCAGCCTTCTGAGCCTCTGGGAGGCCCTAACCAACTGTGTCTGGCCTTCTCCAAATGTTTTGATCATACATTTTTTCAGAGACTTAGAGCCCAAAGTGACCTACCACTTTCAAAGTCAGAGCTGCATGAGTGCAGGGCATGCCCTGATGCTTCTGCTGCTGGAACTGTCCTGCCTGTATAGGAACCAGAAGCTGCCAAAGCTCTATCAGAAACAGGAAAAAAAATAAATAAATCCTTTATTCAGTCTCTCACATATAAGAAGAGTCTACTCTTTCAAGGTTTCAGCACCATTTTCACCATTTTCTAACATACTTAAACTTACATATAAGATGGAAATAATAACATCACCCAAGTGCTTAGCAAAATGCAGTTATTCCACTTAAATATAGCTTCCCCCTCCTTCCCTCAAAAAAAGAAGGCACAAAGTCATATCCACTACCATGTCCTATCTAGGAGATACAAATTCCTTTTCCAGTTCAGCCACAATCCTACCTGGATATTATGTAACCTATATTGTAAAATTAACACCATCAACAAAGATTGGCAAGACTGAGAAAAAAGAGAGGTGTCAAACAACCACCAACACTCCATATATAAATAGGAGAAAAGAGAAGGAACGTAATTGGTTTTATATATGTAACAAGTGTTTGAAGTTGAATCATGTCCCTCCCAAAAGATGTGTTGAAGTCCTAACACCCAGTACCTGTAAATGTGACTTATCTGGAAATAGGTTTTTTGGTTTTTTTTTTAAAGAGAGAATTTTTAAAATATTTATTTATTTATTTTTTAGCTTTCAGTGGACACAACATCTTTATTTTATTTTTATTTTGTGCTGAGGATCGAACCCAACGCCCCTCGCATGCCAGGCGAGCACGCAGTTTTGGTACAAGGGAAGGAACCCAGGGTAATTTAGCCACTGAGCAACATCCGTAGCCCTTTTTATGTTTTATTTAGAGACAGGGTTTTGCTAAGTTGCTTAGGACCTCATTAAGCCTGGGGCTGACCTTGAACTTGGGATCCTCTTGCCTCAGCCTCCCAAGCAGCTAGTAGTGTGGAACGCCTCTACTGGAAATATCTGTAGATGAAATGAGTTAAGATGAGATCATATTGGAATAGAGTGGTCCTTAAACCCAATGATTAGTCCCCTAATCATTGGGAAAGGGAGATTTGGACACAGACACACCAGGAAGAAGGCCATGTGATGACAGAGGCAGAGATTGGAATGACAGGTATCAGATAAGATATGCCAAGGATTGCCAACAAACATGAGAAACTAGGGAAAGTCAAAGAAGAATTCTTCCCCTAACACTTCAAAGAGAGAACATAGACCTAGTGACACCTTAATTTCAGATTTCTATCCTCCAGAATTGTAAAAGTATAAATTTCTGTTGTTTTAATCTGCCATCAAACCTGCAATTCCTGCATCTATAAGATTACTACATATGGATGGTAATTTGTTATAGCAGCCCTAAGGAAACTAATACAATAAAGAACAGAAGAAAGTAAGCATAGCTGTCACTGTCCTTATTTCTATTACTACTCATAAGGCCATAGTTGAAATATCTGCCTCCTTCCACTACACAGCCCATATTCCCTTTTCCTTCTGCTAGTACATCAAATGATCAGAGTCCCCATAACTGGTGAGTGATCCAAATCTTTATTCCCGAGGGACTTAAAATCTCAGCCTCCAGTGGATTGCAAAGAGTTGTGGTTAATTTTAGGTGTCACTTTGACTAGAGCTGTAACAATTGTTCACTGTTCTTGGGGTCTGTGGGAGTATTTTTGCATGAGATTAACATTTGAATTGTAGACAAGTAAAGCAGATTGCCCTCCCTGAGGTGCATAGGCCTTACTCTTTGGCTCACAAAATCAAATTAATAGAGGACATCACTATAATGGACCAATGTGACAATCCATGAGATGATAAGACAGTCAAAGTCCCTGCAGACCAGATAATGACAGAAAGCAATAGACTTGACATAGCAATAGACTCTGAGGAAAGACCTTGAAGGTATATGCTCCTGTCTCTGCTCAATGAAAGCAATATGCTTGTGATAACCTGTCAAGTGATAACTGAGAAAGTATTTTCAAATCTACATTTACAATAGTCACAAGTATATATAGATTTGCTCCAGTAAAGAGGCCACATCTAGAAGAGCAGCTGGAATTGAATCACCATCTGATTAAATTTACAGTAATATAAGAGCCAGCTGTGGTTCCCTCACCTGTAATCCCAGCTACTCAGGAAGCTGAAAAGGCCAAAGAATTGTGAGTTTGAGGCCAGCCTGGGCAACATAGTGAAATCCCACCCCAAATAAATAAATAAATAAACTTACACTAATACACAGAGCCCATCTTTCTTTGCAGGTTTAGGCAAGTTAAATAGAAATGTGATAGAAATCAGTATGCCTGCATTTTTCAAGTCTTTAAATTCACCCAAGTATGTGCTATTATTGCTTTTGGCTTGCTTTTTGGTAGAAAGGGTAGCTACAAGGCTCCTAGGTGATCTTTATTATAATGTCCCTCTTCATGGGTCAGGAAGCCAGTATGCATATTATTCCAGTTTATAAATATGTCCATCATTCCAACTCTGCATTCAGTAACTGGAGAAGTCACCTGTAGTTCCAGCTATTTGTGAGGTGGAGTCAGAAGAATCATTTCAGCCCAAAGTTGCAGTTTGGGAGACGGGGGAGTGGCACAGACAAAAATAAACTAGAGAAGTAACCACTAGTTGATTCCTTGTAATCACTATAATGTACTAGAGCCAAAACTGGGCTAACCATGTGACTTCCATAACCTATCTCTCTTACTAGTGAACTCCAGTAGCTTTCTGGTCACTAGAGATTAGTATATTCATGACCACTGTGTAGTGATTCCTAAAATGGAAATTTCCCCTTTCCCTAGTGCCCATTCACTCTGGAAAAAAAAAAATGCTTCTGATCACTTTTTGAGAGAAACAAAGTGGGAAGAAGAATTATACCATAATTTTTTGGCTGTGTTACTGGGTCTTTCCTCCTGAGGATCTATGGAAAGGCTCACATACTGACACAGGATTAAAGGTCATATCTTCTCACTGTGAGGAGTCAGGTCTCTGCTAAATAGAATTAGAGTTTTTTAAATTGCATAAACCAAAAACTAAGATTTCCTTCTGTTTAACACATTGTAATTAATAGCTAACACTAAAGAACTATGTGAATTAAAACATTCTGATTGCCATTCTTACCATATAGTTCTCTTTTATAATTGCATTTACTTTGTATTTCACAGTTGCATACTGATACCTGGCCTCTGTTGGCCTGGATTGAAATCAAGGAAAACATTTCAATAGTCTGCAATAGTGAAATCCTCCACCATCATTCCTAGCCAGCAAATGAAAGCCACCAATGAGGTTTTGGAAGATACTGGCTAAAGAGTTAATAAATTGGATAGCATCAAATTAAAAAGCTTCTGCACTGGGACTGGGGTTGTGGCTCAATGGTACTTGCCTAGCATGTGTGAGGCATTGAGTTTGATTCTTAGTACTGCATATAAATAAATAAAGGTCCACTGACAACTAAAAAAGAAAAAAAAATTTAAAAGCTCTTGCACAGCAAAATAAACAATTAGGAATGTTAAAGAGAGAGCCTTCAGAATGGGAGAAAATCTTAGCTACTTTTCTGATAGAGGACTAATATCTAGAATATATAAAGAAGTCAAAAAAATTCACACCAAAACAAACAAACAAATAACCCGATTAATAAATGGGAAAATGAATTAAATAGACAATTCTCAAAAAATACAAATATATGAAAAAATGTTCAACATCATTAACAAATCAAAACTATACCAAGACTTCATCTCACACCAGTCAGAATGGCAGTTATTAAGATTACAATAAATGCTGGAGAGGATGTGGACAGAAAGGATCACTTTTACACTATCGGTGGGACTGTAAATTAGTATAACCACTATGGAAATCAGTATGCAGGATTCTCAAAAGACTAGACAGGAACCACCATAGGACCCAACTATACCACTCCTCTGTATTTATCTTAAAGAATTAAAATCATCATACTATAGTGATAATGCATACCCATGTTTATAGTGGCACAGTTCATAATAATCAAACTTGGAATGAGTCTAAATGCCCATAAACAGATGAATGGATTAAAAAAAGTGTGATATATATGCACAATGGAGTTTTATTCAACCAGAAAGAAGCATGAAATTATGTCATTTGCAGGAAAATGGCTGGCACTAGAGACTATTATGTTAAGTAAAATAAGCCAAATTCAGAAGGTCAAGCATTGTATGTTTTCTCTCAAGTAGAATCTAGAGAGGAAAAAGGAAAAGAAAGGTATGGAGTTGGGAGCTCATAAAAATCAAAGGGATATCACTAGAGGAAAAGCATCAGGGAGTAGGAGACAGGGAGAGAGGGAAGGAGTGCTGGGGAATGATATTGGTCAAATTATATTGTTATATTGTGTGCATGTACAAATATGTAACAAGGAATCCCATCATTCTATACAACAATAAGGCATCAATGTTTAAAATGTGGAAAGAGGGGAAAAAAAAGAAAGATACTGGCAAATTGGGCACATCGGCACATGCCTGTAATTCTAGCAATTCAGGAGACAGAGGCAGGAAGATCCCAAGTTGGAGGCCTATCTAAGCAACTCAGCAAGACTCTCCTGAAAAATAAAAGTGGACTGGGGGTTTAGCTCAATGGCAAAGCCCCCCTGAGTTCAATCCCCAATACAAGAAAGAAAGGAAGAAGAAATTGGTAATTGCAGCTCTCAATTTCTTAATAAGAAGATTATCCTCAAGGACAACTTTTCCTGCTTCCTAAGCTTATGGATTTTCTCCTTGAAATTATATCAGGAAAGATCTGAGGGTGTAGCTCAGAGGTACAGTGCTTGCCTCAAATGTAGAAGGTAGTTGGTTTGATTTCTAGCACTGCGAAATTTTTTTAAATTATACTAAGAAAGTTTTGGCAGCTCAACCTACTGAAAGCAAGTGTGATGGTTTGGATTTGAGGTGTCCCCTGAAAAGCTCATGTTAGGCGATGCAGGAATGTTCCAAGGTGAAATGATTGGATAATGAGAGCTGTGATCTAATCAGTGAAATAATCTATTTGATGGAATGGAGTGGTGACTGGCTCCTTGCTCGCTCTCTGTTTCCTAGCTGCCATGACCTGAGCAGCTTTCCACCACCATGCTCTTCCATCATGATGTTCTGCCTCACCTTGAACCTAGAACAATAGATTAGCCAACCATGGACTGAACCTGTGAAACTGTGATCCGCAAATAAACATTCTCTCCTCAAAGTTGTTCTTACCAGGTATTTTGGACACAGTAACCAAAAGCTGACCATTTTAGTCCAGCTTTCAGTCAACTAACCTACTTCTTGGGCTACACATCTTATTTGAAAACTATTAAGTGCTTTCATGTGGATCAGTTCAGCTGAGTCCATTGTTAAATGCTCTTCTTTTCTGCCTGGCACTTCTAGAATTCATTTCCATACGTACTCTCAGGTCTCTGATAGTATCAATTTGCAAAATTTTGCGATACAGTAGTCATGTGTCATTTGACAGGCTAAGGAATACACTGTTAGGCTATTTTATCTTTGTGCAAACATCACAGAGTGTACTTATACAAACCTAGAGAGTATTGGCCTACTTCACTCCTAGGCTATACAATGTAACCACCCTCATATATGCTCTGTGTCATTGACCACAGTATTGTTATGTAGCACAGGACTGTGTTTTTATTGTTACTGTTGTTGTTATGTTTCTGGTTTATAAACTATTTTCTCCCAAGTCAGACAAGAAACTGCTTCAGATGAGATCACTACAGGGGTTTTTAAATAATGAGAGGCTAGTCCCCCTCAGACATTGAGAAAAGGGGGTATTTTGGTTGACAAAGAAAGCCTAGTGAAATTAAATATTACTTGATAATAAAATAAACTCAAAGAGAAAACAGCAAATTTAATGCTTGCAATAACTTGGACAGATTTCAAGGGCATTTTCTCAAACAGTTATATAGTGTATGCTTCCACGTACATAACATGCTCGAAATGACAAAATTACAGTGATAGAGAACATATCAGTGGTTGCCAGGGGTGAGAGTTGAGGGAAGGATGACTAATAAGGGGCCACACAGGGGAGTTTCTTTGTGGTAATGGGACAGTTCTATATTCTGATTGTGGTAAGAGTTATTATGATAAAATACATATGCTAAAAACACATTATTAAATTTCATAGAACTATAAGCATACACACACCAAAAAAATAAAGATGTCCATATGAAAACTGGGAAAATCTGAATGAGGTACCCAAGTAGTCATAATTATACCAATGTCAGTTTCCTTGTTTTTACCAGGAACTTTGGTGTTATAAGTTATCATTGGATGGAACTGGGCAAAAGGTACCTAAGAACGCTCTACCATTTTTGCAACTTATTGTAAGTTTTAAACTATTTCAAAAAAGTTAGTAGGGGAAGAAGGAGAGAATGAGGGAAGGAAGGAAGGAAGGAAGGAAGGAAGGAGACTTTTGGAGGGATGAGGAGTTCACATTTTCCAGATTCATCAGAGTCTACTCAGATGTCTTCATTTTGAATCTCAAAATAGGCCCCAGATTTTACACGGAAGGGATTATGGATCCTGGATGATATCATGCATTGAAGGGTTAATCAATCTTGGTACTTTCCTGCTTTTCTTGGCTTCTAAACCCATATGAGATAATTATCCTTTTCTTTCCCCACTGCTGGGGATTTCCCTTGCCTTCCAATATAGTCACCAAGTGGAATCAAGTGCCTATGTTCATTCTTCTTTATTGCTAGAAATTTCAGCAGAATGGGCTGGGGTTATAGCTCAGTAGTAGAGCGCTCACATTGCATGTGGAAGACACTCGGTTCAATCCTCAGCACCATATAAAAATAAAATAAAGGCATTGTGTCCATCTACAACTAAAAAATATTTTTAAAAAAGAAAGACAAAAGAAAAGAAAAAATAAATTTCAGCAGAAAGAAAATTCTTCTTTCCCAACAATCTCCACACAGGTTTCTTATGATACATTGACTCTGAATGGGTTATATAGTTATCCATGAATCAAACTCTGAAGACACAGTAAGACTGAATTTCACATCCACTCTTAAGTTGGATGTGATATCAGCTTTCCAAGAAGCATTTGGTCTTAGTGTGGAAGCAAGAATTTCAGTGCCAAAGAAAGCAGAATTTCTAAAAACATTCAAGAAAAGCACGCTTTTAGAAGATGGATACTAATGAGCCAGGTGCGGTGGTACATACCTGTAATCCCAGCAGCTCGGGAGGCTGAGGCAGAAGGATCACAAGTTCAAAGCCAGCCTCAGCAAAAGCCTCGGTGAAACCCTGTTTCTAAAGAAAATACAAAACAGGGCTGGAGACGTGGTTCAGTGGTTGAATGTCCCTGAGTTCAATCCCCAGTACTCAAAAAATTAAAAAATAAAAATAAATGGATACTATTGATTATGTCAGAACACATCATGCAAAACCTAAACCAAGCCAGACATGGTGGCACATGCCTGTAAACCCAGCGACTCTGGGAAGATGAGGCAGGAGAATCACAAGTTCAAGATCACCCTCAGCAACTGAACAAGACCCTCAACAATTTAGCAAGACCCTGTCTTAAAAATAACAAGGACTGACAATGTAGCTCAATGTAAAAGTACCTCTGTTTTCAATCCTTAATACAAGAAAAAACCTACATTGAAATGTTTGGATTCTGAAACAGAGGGAACCATCTGTAGATAGTGTCAGCCATTTGAATAAAAGCAATGTGGGTGAATAAAATAAGCACTAAAGTCAGGAGACTTTAGTTCTAACTCAGAACTGAGGCTTATTAACTCTGTAACCTTCAGCCAACACCTGATCTTCAGTTGCCTCATGTATAACACAAAGGAATGAATACTACTTACACGTATACTGGTTCTTGACTCATTTTGCAAAAAAAAAAAAAAATAACAAAGTTTGGTGCTTGAGAAAGTCATAGCAAACATTTCTGTGTCCAAACTTGTCAGAAATTAATCATATTTTGGGGCATGTAATAATCTCTGACAGGTTCCAGTGGTGCTCTGTATACACACACACACACACACACACACACACACACACACACACTTCTTACCTATGAGGATCTGTTTCTTTGGGAGCTGTAGCATACTTTATCATCCCAATAAATTTATACTAGTACTTCAGGTCTCTCTCAGAAAATAGTACTTCTTTTCTTTTTCCTCCTAAATTAGATTTACCAACAGCAAGAACTTGAGAGATGGTGAAGATCTCATGACATTGTAGATTTGTTTTGTTTCCCAGACTGCAGAGTTTCTCTCTTCTGTTGACATGTGATCACTCAACAAAAATTCCAGGGACTCCTTAGGTTACCAGGTATCCTTCTGAGTGCTCTCAAGCATTCCATCACAGAAAAAAAAAATGTGAACTGGCAGTGAGTCCAATTAGAATTCCTAGTGCCAAATTGTACAAACTTTCTCTTCATCTCAGTTACTTCTCTACTCCCAGGATCTACCATACTTACAACATTTCACTAGAATATTGTAATACAATTCAAAATCTTTCTGGTTCTGTATTCTCCAAAGATTTCAAGTATCATAGATAAGTAGTCTTATTCCCACTTGGTTGCCAGGCCCAGGACAGCCTTTCACTCTCTATGGAATCTTAGCTAGTGAGGTATGGTAGGGGCTGCCACACTCTTCCTCTCCCCTCCCAAGAAACATATATTTTTCTAAAGAAACTGCATCCCTTAGGGCTGGATTATGCACACCTAGCATGGGACTTCATAAGATATTTTTAAAGATTTTCTTCTATATAATTTGCTTGGATTTCTATTTCACCACACCCTCACCAACGTCTAATGCTGATCTTCACTCATCTTACAGTTTACTTCAAGGAAATACTCCAAGGACCATCACAGCTCTTGCCAGGTTGATATCCTCTCTCATACCACAAGCCCAACAATTTGGCATCTTTGTTAAGAATGCACACATCAGGGCTGGGGTTGTGGCTTGGTGGTAGAGCACTTGCTTAGCATGTGTAAGGCACTGGGTTTGATCCTCAGCACCACATAAAAATAGATAAATAAAATAAATGTTTTTGTGTCCATCTACAACCAAAAATATTTTTTAAAAAAGAATGCACACACTGGGCTCATTGGTAAGGTGGAATTTGGTCCAGGTTATTGACAGATAATACATATTAGTTTGAATATTCTGGTCATTATGGCACCAGATATCACCCAGATATGATAATCTAACTATAAGTTAACCCACATTCACATTAAGACCACACTCAATGATAAGTTATTTTATTTCATTTTTTTGGAAATTCTGCAGAAATCAGAACTCTTACCAAAGTTTGAATTAAAAAGGGACAGTGGGAAGGGGAGAAGGGTGGGATTGTCCAGCATGCTTGTATGTATATTTCAGAACCTTTTTAAATGTAAAAGCTGTACATTTCTGGGAAGTTCTGAATTTCTTTTGTTTTCTTTTGTCCTTCAAGCATTTTACGGTGAGCTTCTTTTATATATAGCAAATAATTTGAAAGAATACAAAAATATGTGAAGTTCATTTAAAAAAAAAAACTACAGTATAGCACTAGTACAGTACACTAAAAGACTTTGATAGAAAGAAACAATAAGGGGCCAGGGTTGTGGCTCAGTGGTACAGTCTTGCCTCGAATGCCTGAGGCCCTGGGTTTGATCCTCAGCACCACATTAAAAAATAAATAAAAATGAAAGATATTTTTTAAAAAACTCTTTTAAAAATAATAAAAATCTTCCATTTTAAATGCCATTCATATATACCTTGTGGATAAGAGCTATATACTTTTATATACTTTTTAGAGGAATACATTATTGAAAAAAAAACAAAGAGCACACTCAGTGTATCTTCCTCTCTTTCAGAATAGATGAAAGCCAGCATGGTTGGCACACCCCTTAACCTAGTGAGGAGGCTGAAGCAGGAGAATTACAAGCTCAAGGCCAGCCTCAGCAACTTAGCAAGGCCCTAAGCAACTTAAACGGATTCAAAATAAAAATGGCTGGGCATTGGCTCAGTGGTTAAGTGGCTCATGGTCCAATCCCCAGTACCAAAAAGAGAGAGATGGAAACCCTTGACAAGAAATGGATGTTTTACTGAAATTTTATGAAACTGGGGAAGAAGATGTACATCACACTACTTATTGTATCTTAATGATAAAATGATACAATTTCTGTTTCATTTTTGCAAATGCGCCAAGACAAATACCACCCCCACATTCCAAACTGAGTCCACCGCAGCAAGATTTGCAAGGAGGTAAACAAGAATATGCCAGGACCCTTGGATGACCTGTAGGTAAGTGAAGACTGGGGGAACAAGACAGAGAGTTAAAAATCACAGAGGATTTCTATAGGGAGAGTTTGCTTTGAGGCACAGCATCTCCCATAAGAAAGGAGGAGAAAAAGGTAGGGAAGATTTCTCCCGATCCTGGGGTCGGAGAGAGGTCACTTAAAGAGCTTATAGACTGAGATATATGGACTTTCACAATTTAGGAAAACCAATGGATAAATCAGATGACTCATGTCTGAAATATACAAAGAGCAATGTGCTGACTGAAGCAGCCTATGGCAGCAAAACTTTGAGTGAAGCAGGTACACTCTTAAAAGTTTCCATGAATCAAATGGCAGATGGGAAAGAGAACAAAAGTAGAGCGTGGGAAAGAGAGAGGAAGAAGCTATTGCCTTAGATCCTGCACAGGACTGCAGCTTGAGGAGGAAGGAGACCTCTTTAGAAACACTTTGGCAATAATCAGGGATCAAAGAGTACACTAACATGACCAGACAAGGATATGCACTCGCCTGCATGAAATATAACATTAGTGGGTGGAGGAGGTTTCCAAAAAGTTCTTTTTTTTTTTTTGTAGTTGTAGATGAACAGAATGCCTTTATTTTATTTGTTATGTGGTGCTGAGGCTTGACCTAGTGCCCCACAGGTGCCAGGCAAGTACTCTGCCATTGAGCCAGAACCCCAGTCCCCCAAAAGTTCTTAAAAGGGTCCAGAAGACAGTCAGCTTTAGATACACTATGGTCAAAATAAATCAAGCTAGATAAAGACCAGTCAAATGAAATTCTGTTGCTTCCTAATCTCTCCTCTCTCCCTCATTTCAACCCATGAAGAGTCAGAAGTAGCCTGGTGAATGATAGATGTGGAATAGAGGCACTACATGGAATATCAAGAACTCTAAGCTATCTTTTCTGCAATAGGTTTCCAGTTCACGAGGTGAAGCTAGAGGGAGAGGAGAAAATTCAACTTTTAACCAATCTTGAAATTTAAAAAAAAAAATTGTACTGGACTTGGACTTCTGTTTGTCTTATTGTTTTGTTTTTTGTTAAACTGGAAATTGAATCCAGTATCTGGCAACATCTTAGGCAAGTGTTGTATGTACCACTGAATTACAACCCTGGCTCTATTTATTTTATTTTGAGGTAGATTCTGGCTACGTTGGTCAGGGTGACCTTGAACTTACAGTTCTCTTGCCTCAACCTCTCAAGTAGCTAGGATTACAAACATGCACTTCCACACCCTGTTTATTTGTTTTAAGAGACAGGAGTCTCACTATGTTGCCCAGGCTGGCCTCAAACGCCTGGGTTCAAGCATTCCTCCTGCCTCCAGTTCCCAAGGAGCTGGGAATTATCGTTGTCACACACCATTTTGTCTGGCTGCCAGTATTTTTAAAAATATGTTTTGGAAGCTTGGAAAAGAAATGTGAGGTGAAGAAAGGAAAAGATGACAACCAAAACAGATCTAGAGGACATAGGCTAGAGAAGTCCCTGGAGACCTTGGAAAGAATGATTTCAGAAGCCCTTATGGTGACACAAATCAGACTATAATAAAAAGATTGAAGAGTGGATGGGCTTTTTTCACCAAGATGGCACCAAAAGCTAAGAAGGAAGCTCCTGCCCCTCCTGAAGTCGCAGCCACTGCAAAAGCTTTGAAGGCCAAGAAGGCAGTGTTGAAAAACGTTCACACACACACACACACAAAAAGAAGATCCACATGTCATCTAACTTCTGGTGGCCCAAGACCCAGCAGCTCCAAAGGCAGCCCACATATCCTCAGAAAAACGCCCCCAGCAGAAACAAGCTTGACTATGATGCCATCATCAAGTTTTCCCTAACCACTGAGCTGGCCACGAAGAAGGTTGAAGACAACACCACACTAGTGTTCATTGTGGATGTCAAGGCAAACATCAGATCAAACAGGCTGTAATGAAGCTTTATGACACTGATAACTTATAAACAACAGTAATATATTCCTCACAATTCTGGAGGCTGGGAAGTCTAAGATCAAGATACTAGTGGGTTTGGTGCCCTGTGAGGGTATAGACTGCTATGGTCAGAATATTTGTTCCTGAAATATTTACAAATTGAAACTTAATCCCCAGTGAGAGCACGAAGAGGTGGGCCCTTTAGGTGATAAGGTGATGAGGATTTCACCCTCATGAATGGAACTGATGCCCTTAGAAGGGAGGTTTGAGGGAGCCCTTTTGTATCTTGCCAAGTCTTTCATCAGACATGAATCTTCTGGCATCTTCATGTTGGACTTTCCAGACAACATGAGTAAATTGCTACTGTTTATAAACTACCCAGACTTGGGCATTTTGTTAGAGCAGTCCATACGGAGTAAGACGCCATCTCCCTCCCTAACCAAGCCCTAATTTTGTTGAAGGAATCCACTTTCCTATTAAAAACTATCTTTGTCAAAGTCCTATGGAGGTGGTGTGGCCATGAGACTTAGTTCTGTATAATGAGAAGAAAGATTTCCCTTGTGCCTTATACCCGGCTTAAAAGCAGTTGAAATGACTGGGAAAGTCATAAAAACATTCACAGGAGCCCCACATGACACAGCAGAAAGCAGCAGCCTGGGACACTGAAGGCATTTTTTAAGCTGCTGTTACAACTTGCCTTCAGACTTTTTGTCACATGAAAGAAAAATAAAGGGCCCCTATCTTGATTAAGCCCCGTGTGTAAACTGTATGCAACATCTATCTGCCATACCACTCTTTAAAGGTATTTGGCTTTGACATGGAGGCCAAATAGACCAGTAACTACAAGCAGACATGTGATTAGGGTTAGATTTGTAAGACAGGGTAGACTCGAATTTGTTTAATTACTGATAAGAGCAAGCCAGGATAGGTAGAGAGAAAGATAAGCAGACAGGCAGATACATGAAGGTACCAGAGAATGGAAATGGAATGACAGTCATATTGATGGTTTGGTTTTTTTTTTTCTTCCTAACAGACTACCACAAACCTGGTGACTTAAAATAACACTGTTTGTTATGTCTCAGTCTCTATGGGTTGGGATTTCAGAAACAGCTTAGCAGGGTCCTCTGCTCAGGATCTCACAAAGCTTCAGTCAAGGGGCTGGCCATGACTGTAGTCTAATGTGAGGTTCAGGGCTTGTGGTTGTTCAGAAAATTCATTTCTTGCCATTGTAGAACTTGTGGCAGCTAGATTTTTGCAAGGCCCACAGATCAAAACACAAAACAAAACAAAGTCTCTGACTTCTATCTCTGATCTCTGAATAATCTTTTAAAAGGTTCACCTGATGAGATAAGGTCTGCCCAAGATAGTCTCCCTTTTGGTAACTCAGAGTCTACTGATCAGAGACCATAATTACATCTGCAAAAATCCCTTTACCTTTGCCATGTAAAATAATACAATCAGCCAGGCGCAGTGGGGCACACCTAATCCCAGGGGCTTAGGAGGCTGAGGCAGGAGGATCTCAAGTTCAAAGCCAGCCTCACTAAGCAATTCAGTGAGATCCTGCCTCTAAATAAAATACAAAATAAGCTGGAGATGTGGATCACTGGTTGAATGCCCTCTCACCCACATCCTGTGTGAGCAATGGAATTTGGGGTTCCTGTGCGTGAAGTGAACTAGCTGCCAAATAAGGCTAAGAAAAAGAAGGCAATGTAAAGACCACACGACACGGAAGTAATTTTGAAAAGCAGGGCAGGAGGGCTCTACCACCTTAGGGGTCCAGCTTTCACACTAGAAAGAGAGAGCTAACCCACGTTTGCTTTATTATATATGGGAGAAACTTCAAAGGTATTCCATAGAATGTTCTTCTGCCAAATAAGGTAGGAGGTGGGCAGTCCAGGCCCAATGGGTCATGCCTAATTCCGGAGCTACAAGAGCTGCCTTCCTAGCCCAGCAAAGACTGAAGTCACGTGCATTGTGTAATCCATTAAGTGGGAGGGGCCACAAAAGAGTGTGCAATGCCAGACCAAAATCTCCTTGGCTCAAGGCTGAGTGAAGACGCTAAATAGCTCAGGAGTGGCTTCCCACAATGCCCCTGAGTTCAATCCCTGGCACCCCTCCCCCAAATACAACCATAGGAGTGACAGCTCATCATATTCACATAGACTGCCCACACTCAGGGCGTTGTGTACATCAGGGGATGAAACTTGGTGTATGTGTTGGGGGGGTGCATCTTAGAATTCTTCCTACCACAGTTTGTGAGCTTTGGATAGGAAAGGACATCATCTTCACCTGCATTTTGGGTCTCATTGTCCTCTTCCTTTTCAAAGAACATACCCTATCTGTCACACTGTACGCATATCAAGTGTGTTTGGAAGTTCATGACCACAAGCAACTATTCTCTTTCCTGTTTTATTTCCCCATCTTAAATGAGTGGCTTCTTTTAAGAACTGATTGCAACACATCCTTGCAGTGTTTCACATGGCCACTCCACACTTGTCTACTATGGTTCCATTTACTTGTAAACAAGCTATTTAGGAATTAGCAAGACAGGGTGTTTTCACAGATGTCAAGGTGGCCCAAAATATCTCTTTCCAACTATGTATGATCAGAAAGCTGCATCACTGCATGAAGAAGAAATAAAAGAATTATACTGCAGTACTATTAAGATAATTTTGTTCTCACAGTCATTGCAATTGAGAATCTAATGTAATCATTTTTTCCTTTCTCCCTTCCTTCCTGTCTATCTTATACAAAATATGTCTTTGGTTTTCTCCTAGAGAAACAGAAAGAAGCAGCATTAGCTTTATGTTCCTCCAATTGGGCTATCATCTGTAAATTAATCCCTTTCACAGGAAGATATTCCCAAATGACTCCAGTTACCTTGGAGGAAGCAGGGATAATTTATCTCCCTATTATGGATACGACTTGACTCCCATACCCTGAATCTAACAAACACAAATTGATGTTGATGGAAGCTGTAAGCAGATTTCTACTCAAGACTCCAGGGATGAGTCTAACTATACAAATTGAGAATAGGGAGTGGGGACTGGGGCCACAAACTCATCTGCCATTGACCACTCCATAAGCCTTAAGGAATTCAACTTGCTTCTTTCCTATGCCTCCTCAGGGGACTTCCGTGTGCATTACTTCATTCTAACATGACTTTTTTTGCCTTCATTTGGCAGTGAGAGAGATCAGGGATTGAACCCAGGGAGCTTAACCACTAAGCCACATCCCGACCCTCTTGTTTATTTATTTAAGTTTTTTTATCTGGAGACAGGGTCTCACTAAGTTGCAGAGGCTGACTTTAAACTTGTGATCCTCCTGCCTCAGCATCCCAAGTTGCTGGTATTACAGTCATGTGCCACCACACCCAGCTGGAACTACAATATATTTTTAATTGAATGTTACCCAAATTTATTTTGGTCATTAATTGTATTGGTTGTGGGCTGGGGATGTGGCTCAAGCGGTAGC